AAACACACATCTAGGAGATCTCAGTCTCTGCTCAGTCTTGCAGCTCCTATTTAAAGACAAGTTAGTCTTTTGTTTTTCAGTGTTCGCTCACTTCAGAATGTGGTTTAAAGAGCTGCTAGTGCAGACTTAACGAAGTTTCTTCTGAAAGGCTGATTGTGTTTCCTTCTGTCTTTTTGACAGAACCCATTTAAAATGGGCCTTCTTCATTTAATTATCTAGTCTTTATTTTTGTGAGTTTTATTTCTGAACTGGAATAAATGTTATAGTCAGAATTGTGTCTGCAGACAACAGGCTTATTTTATAAGGCTTAAAAGTATTTTCCTTTACAATTGGACAGTGAAGCAGGAGCTCTGTAGTGCAGGCTGTGTCCAGGGCACATGCACCAGGAGCACAGGGCACTGAAGTTCACAGGGTCCTGTTGCAGGGACATTTGGGTACGTAGGTGCCTTATACAAATGTTACAGACCCAATGGCTGTCTGACTCCTGATCTATAACTGAAGTTTATTGTCTCTAAACTCTTGAGCCTGAGAGGAGCAATATTCCAAGACAGCACGTGGTAATATCATAGATAACTCCTGAGACCAGGAAAACTCCTGATCTCCAGAGTTTAAACCAGCTCCTGGACCATTCACTCTCCACAGGGCAGCAGAAGGGTTTTCTACAGGCTACAGAGGAGCTGCTCTAAAAGCACAGTATAGGACTGTCCTGGGTTTGGCCAGAACAGGGTTAATTTTCACCGGACTCCAGGAAGGGGCACAGCCGGGGGGTGGGGGCTGACCCCACCTGGCCAAACAGAGATAAATGTTATAGTCAGAATTGTGTCTGCAGACAACAGGCTTATTTTATAAGGCTTAAAAGTATTTTCCTTTACAATTGGACAGTGAAGCAGGAGCTCTGTAGTGCAGGCTGTGTCCAGGGCACATGCACCAGGAGCACAGGGCACTGAAGTTCACAGGGTCCTGTTGCAGGGACATTTGGGTACGTAGGTGCCTTATACAAATGTTACAGACCCAATGGCTGTCTGACTCCTGATCTATAACTGAAGTTTATTGTCTCTAAACTCTTGAGCCTGAGAGGAGCAATATTCCAAGACAGCACGTGGTAATATCATAGATAACTCCTGAGACCAGGAAAACTCCTGATCTCCAGAGTTTAAACCAGCTCCTGGACCATTCACTCTCCACAGGGCAGCAGAAGGGTTTTCTACAGGCTACAGAGGAGCTGCTCTAAAAGCACAGTATAGGACAGATACATCCTGTGGAAGATAAAGACTTCAGGGCTGTCTGCAATATGGCTGTGCCCCTTTTCCACCCCCAGGCAGGAAAACCACAACTGTCTGGCTGCTTTCAGACCTCTCCAACCCCATCTCAGGATTTATTACAGAACACTTAAGCCCCAAAATACAAAAGCTCTGCAAGCAGGCAGGCACAGTCATAAATGCAGAGAAGCCTCTGCTACTATAAATCAGTATAGCTCAGTTGAAATCAATATAAAGCCATAGTTCAGCCTAATGTAGGCCCAGCAAAGACACAGGCGCACTGGTCAATACTGGGTTCAGGAGACGGCTGTCCCCAGACGGCTGGCAGGAGCTCTCCTGGTCTTATTTACTCCAGTTGGCAAAATCCCTTAGAAGAAACTTAAAATTTGCCAGCGCAGAGCCTAGCATAACTTTCTTCCCTGCCCATAATTGTTGGGCCTGAGCCAACAGATGTTGTACAACTAACTGGAGGGGAGCTGCCCTAACCGTTTGAGAATAGGGAAGCAGCCTACCAGATAATGTTTGTAAAAGAGCTTGGAAACCATTGACATGGACTAATTGCTTACTGCAGAACAAAGTTGTCACTCTCTGTAGGCTCATTTGATGTAAACTTCCCAGTCATGTCCAAAACCTTTCCCGCAGGACAAACGTTGTTAGTACATAAACTGCTTAGCCAAGCCCTGCTCAGGGTTTCAAGGAAATATTCTGGGGAATGGAAAAGCAAGGAGAATCAAACAGATAACATGATCATCCTCCTCGCTGTGCTCGGCTAGAAGCAAACATCTGTCTGGCATCTGGACTCTGCCACCCACTACGTATTCCCATCTTCAACCTAAACACAGAAGCTAGGGATTTTCATTACCTCTGGCCCCCTCAGTGAGCAAATATGGACAAAAGACATCAGATAAGAGAGGCTGAACTGGCTGAGAATCCCACACAGACCTGGAAAGAACCAAGTGAAGTGAGGAAAGAGGAAGCAACTCCCCCATGTGC